GAATCCATTATAATCTGATAAACCGTTAACGACAAAAATGAGAAAAAAAAAAAAAGTAACGAAACAAATTCTGTTCAAAATTATAAAAACCTCGATTTTTTTACACTTATTACATTACCGTGTAAAAGAATCAGTAAAAAAAAAAGTGCAAAATCTGAAAAAAAAAAAGTTCTGTTCTTTTCAAATTAGCAGATAATAAATTCACTGTTGCTATTGAAAACGTCAAATAGAAAAATGTGAAAAGCGACTGAAATATAGCTGTCTAAGCAAATGAATAGTTAGTTGCACAGTTATACTTTTCAATTATTTAACAGTTTAGATTTAGCAAAATAGATTTGAAAAACAAACAGAAAAGTCATCGTTTTTTCTGTTGTTGCTGCTGCTGCTGCTGTCATTTTTGTTGTTTTACACAGCAACTAGTTTTAGTACTAATATCACAGTATAAGTTATACTGCTTAATTACTATATATTGTACCGTAACATTGTTTTGCTGTTAGTTGGTTGTTAATCAACAACTTTTACAAGTTTTCCAAATAAAAAAAAACTTAGCAAATTGACGGAATTATACGACAAAATTGAGCAATACAACTGTGGTGATGCAAAGCACAATAATGTGGCAATCTGTGACTGTAGTGGAAATTATCAAATGTACGGCTACAAATATTTCTAAAATTAACTAATTCTTTACAAAATTTAATATATTTATTTTGGTCTAAATTACAGAAAAATGTTTAATTACAACAGAATTTTTCTCTTCTGCCCTACCCAATAACTTTTAGATAAATTATTCCATAAATCCCCATGTATCTCAATTCCTGCCACTTCACTAGCTGGAAGAAGTACTCATAGAGAATTTCTACTAAAGCAATTGCTGTTCAATTGATTCAGTTCTCAACTGTCTATCTCCATATCAAATTTGTTTGTTATAACAGTAGTAAAATTAACGTCAGAACTTTTTTGGATTGTTCATTCTAACTTAATTATTCCTTTTTTTTTTTCCTCTGCCACTTTTATTCTTAGGGTTATAATAGTAGTATGCCACTTATTCATCACTTCAAAAAAACCATTAAATTTTTTGTTTTAAATTCAAAAACACACACACATAGCCACGAAAAAAGTAAGTTGAATTATCAGGCAGTATAAGACTTAGTGGTTTTTTTTTCTAAAACAACAAAAAATTCTTCAAAAACGACATTCCCGATGAAAGTAAACCTCAAAAAAAAAAAAAAAAAAAAAAAAAAAAA